CGGCAACATGAAGGCCGCCGTCTTACCTGAGACACACAGAGTCATCTAAATGTGTCGCGCAGACATTCAGCTGCAAACTAATATTCATATTCATTCTCACCAGTGCCGGTGGCAGCACATGCACAGATGTCTTTTCCCAGCAGCCCCACAGGGACGCAGGCTTTCTGAATAGGAGTGGGCTGCTTAAAGCCTATAGTGGAGATGGCCTGAACAAACAGAATCCAGTGAGAGATGTCATTCATTAACATATGATGGCTTCAGAAACACTGCTCATCCTCTACTGAAGGCCCATGTCACATCAATATTTAATGCACACAGTTATGCAGCATAAAAATATAAAAAATGTAATATAAAAATGGTCATTACATTAGCACTTCACTAAAGTGCTTGTACAAGTTACTTTCTTCTTTGTTGCAGCCTAAACCAACATCACTAGGTCAAAACGTCAGTAATGATTGAGAAGCACTCAAAAATCATCACTAACATTACATGATTACTATTTATTAGTACATTAGTGCATGCAAATATATATAATTACAACATACACTAGCATTTAAAAGTTTGAGAACCGTAATTTGTAATGTTTGCTCACAATCACCCAGGCTGCATTTATTTATCAAAAATACAGTAAAAAAGAAAAGAGAAAAAAAAGTATTATTGTGAAATATTAAAATTTTAAAAAGCTGTTTTCTATGTGAATAGATGTTAAACTGTAATTTATTTCTGTGATCTGTATTTTCAGCATCATTCCTCCAGTCTTCAGTGTCACATGATCTTCAGAAATCAGTATAATATGCTGCTTTGCTGCTCAAGACACATTTCTGATTATTATCAATGTTGAAAACAGTTGTGCTGCTGAATAACTTTGTGGAAACTGAGAAACATTTAAATTTTCAGGATTCACAGATGAATAGAAAGTTCAAAAGAACAGCATTTATTTGAAACAGAATCTTGTCGTCACATTATTAATATCTTTACTGTCACTTTTGATCAATTTAATGCGTCCTTGTTGAATAAAATTAATAATTTATTAAAAAATAAATAAATATCCACCCCCAAACTTTTGGAATAATAATGTACTGAAGTGATGGTTACTTCCAGAAAAAAAAAAGTTTATAAGAGCAAATGAATAAATATGATACAAAGAGCATAAAAGGCTGAGAAACGTCAAGTTTTAGTTCCATCACGGCTGTGCGTGTTTACAGTATGTTTCTAATGAATGTGGCGTCCGTCTCACCTTCAGTAAAGGTCTGGACAGATTCATATCCTGGAAGGTGAGGTTCTCATCATACTGAGAGGCATCTTCAAAAAACGCTTGAGCCTTGAAGAAAGAGAGAGAGAGAGATATATATGTATCAGCCTGTCACAAACTAAGAGTGTCTACAACAGAACAGCACAACCCAGATGTTCGAATTTGTGCAACGCATTTTATGGACGACAGTTTTTTGAACCTAGAAGAGTACAAGGCTGGCTGTGCACAAAGGCCATTTAAAAATTTTTTTTAAAGTGTCAATTCCGACTTTGCTATGACAGTCTGGCGCTTCTGAATCAGCGACTGCAAGTATGTTTTGTTATTAGTTTAAGTATTTGCTATTGACTGTTCAAATGCGGAGTTTTTGCGCAGCGCAGAGTAACGCGTCGTGTGTGTGTGTGTGTGTGTGAGAGAGTGTGTGTGTGAGAGTGTGCGCGTGTGTGTGTGTGAGAGTGTGCGTGTGTGTGTGAGTGTGTGTGTGTGTGTGTGAGAGAGAGTGTGTGTGTGAGGGGAACAGGGTCACATCACAGGAAAGTGAACAGTCTGTCAGAAATCATAGCACATCAGAGAGAGAGAGAGAGAGAGAGAGACTGAACAAACACTCAGATATAACAGAAAATAAGTTTCTACCACAAACAACAGCAGCAGCTCAAGAAAACCTATTCATACTCACAGCTTCTGTCGTATTCCTCTTGCCTTTCTTCAGTTTTTCTCTCAAAGTGTCTGTAAGAAAAGAAAGAGGATGAACTGTATCAAATCTGTCTTTTGATCGGCGTCATCCTTTCCTTAGTAGATCTAGTTCAAACGCTGTAAACACACACCTGCTTTTTTGAGCACCTCTTCGTCACCTGACGAGAACTCTTCTTCATCCACCTCATCATCATCATCATCATCTCCGCCTGATTCTTCATCGTTGTCATTTCCATCATCTTCTTTGTCATCCTCTTCATCATCATCCTCTTTTTCCGGTTTAGAGGCCGAAGCTTCGGTTTTCTTGCTTTCTTTTTGAGTTTTCTCCTGCAAAAGCACACAAATATGTCAAACATTCAATTCCATTTTTCTCTCTCACACAACCGTACACATAAAATAAAAATGAACATAGGAAAAACACAGAATAAAATATTTTACAAGATATCTGGTGGTCGAAACGTCAGAATAATTTAGTGCTTTAATGTTTCTGAAAGAAGTCTCTTCTGCTCACCAAGGCTGCATTTATTTGATCAGAAACAGTAATATTGTGAAATATTTTTACAATGTAAGATAGCGGTTTTCTATGTGAATATCTGTTAAAATGTAATTTATTCCTGTGATGCAAAGCTGTATTTTCAGCATCATTCCTCCAGTCTTCAGTGTCTTCAAGAGACTTTCTCATTACAAACATTACAAATCTTCCGCTCACCGAGGCTGCATTTGATCAGAAACACAGTATAAACACGGTAATACTGTGAAATATTATTACAATGCAGAATGACTGTTTTCCATTTGAATGCTGCACACATCGTTGTACCTCAATTTTGCGCTTCTTCCGCACTTTCTCGATCTTTTCGTCCAGAGTAGTGGCCGCTTTCTGGAAGGCAAAAGGAGGGATGAAGATGATTCTAACACGAGCAACACGTAACAGCCCACTAGAGGCCCAGAGCTCTGCCGTGAGAACCCCACTCACCCTCTTCTTGAGCTGCGCCATGACGTCTGCTGCGACCCAGTCCTCGCTGTACAGACCGTCTCGCTCGCCGAACTCAAAGCCAGAGCTGAAGTCTCCAGCGCCGTGGCCCTTCAGAGCGCGCTTCTCCTTCCTCAACACGACGGGCTGCTCCTGATGAAACACACCAGCATCACCTCATTATAACAGCCTTGCCACGGTGCAGTCACGGCATCAGATGGTAACACCACGCTACTCCAAAATACACCATTCATGTGCTATGTTCAGCATACTACAGTACTACCATGTTTTTTTAAACATAGCAGTATAATAGTAGTTTTTATGGTACATTTACAAGGCACTCATACTACGGTACTACCAATGTAAAGTCCAAATTCTACATGGTATGCCAAAAAAAACTTGTTTACACCATGGAAGTGTGTGGTGAAAACATGGTATTACTGTGGTACAAGTCCAAAGACACAGCATTACAATCAAACATGTACCAAAAAACTAAAAAAGGATTGCCATGTTATGCAAAAGCTGGTTTTACCACAGTATGAGAGGCTCAAAACACAGTACTACTGTAATATACCAACAAATACATAGTATTATTATGATGCACATCAAAAAGCATGGTATTACCACAGTATGAGGCTCAAAACACAGTACATCACTAGATAAAATAACATTACCATGCATTACACATAACAAACATGGTAGTATTACCATAGTATTAAGTTCAAATCGATACATCCCCAGAAACCATAGTATTACCATGACACACATCAGAAAACATGGTATTACCACAGTATGAGGCTCCAAACAGTACCATCATGGCACATTCCCACACACCGGGACTGTAGTATTAGCATGGTGCATTCCCAAACAACATGGTATTAGCACAACACACCGCAGAAGGAAACCTTGTGCATCTGAACAGAACTCAACTCACAGCTTCATCATCAGACGCGGAGTCCGGCTCCTCAGGAACATCATCATCCTCACCGAGAGTTCCGATCAGATCTGAAAACATGCTTGTGCTGCACTCACAAGAACTATATATAGAGTATAGCAATGAATAGGCACCAATTAAATAGACACTGGTACAGGACACTAACAGCGCTGCATGTTCACATACACACGTGTGTAGCCGGAGCAGCGGATGTGGGTCATTCTCACGCGACTCTTCTTCAGTGGCTGCGGCGGCCTCGTGAAACCACACTGCCCCTAGAGGAGCGGAGGACGGGAGTAGTGGTGCAGAGCACTGAGAAAACACTGAGAAACGGAGAATTTAACACAAAATTATATGAATTAAATTATATGTAGTCAGGAAAACTACTACAGTTTCAGGTCTCGGGCCTTATTTTACAACCGGCCGAAACAAAAATAAATAATAGCAGTACAAATAATGCATGTTATTATAAATTAAAACAATTACAACTGTAAAACATAAAAAAAAAACACATTTGAAATACTACCACTACCAATTTTGTTTAAAAAAAATTAAATTTTCAAACTACATTTGCGTCACAAAGGTTCACAAAAGCCCGTGTGCTGTTTGTCGATGTATTCAAACTTGCGTAAGATTAAACGAACGTTTTAACACATTAAGTGGTTGATTTCAAATACTGCGCTAACACACTTCTTATAAACGCTTTTACAATGTGTAATAATACCGTATATTAATTCTGAACTCCTCTGCAAATGTGTAACGGTATACACAATCAGCTTGACTCTGGTTATTGTTTTATTACTATACTTTCAGTCTTTAAATATCAAGACCCTTAAATGTTAACTGTATACACATCACCCAAACATGACACTGCAGCTCTATATAATTCTACAAGAAGCTGAATGCATAAATTATACTCCTCACAGAAGTCAATTACACGCTACTTGAAAGAGTTCAAGTTTAAAAGAGATCCGTTATAGAAACACTTTGGAAATTCAAGTACTCATAATGCATATTTTTAATCTATTTAGTTGCATCAAAACAAAAGTAAAATCAGCTCAGCATATATTTATTGTGCGTTTAACTGATATCAGCTGAAAGCAAAACACACGAGTCGTTTTAAAACATAACTGTCAATGACACTTTATTTTTTAAAAAAAAGGAAAGAAATGACATTACAAAAAAAAAAAACTATACAAGAGCTTGCAGCCAAACTTTCCCCCAATACGAGGACGAGACAGATCTCAAACGCATCAGTGCAGCGGTTTAAGGTCTGGGAGGACGCATGCCTGGAGGAGGAGGACCTGGTGAAACGCAAAGGAGAAATTCACATCAGACAAGAAAAGGAAAATGTTGCATGTGAGCACTCAAACCAGATGCACTTTAACAACTCTTACCTCTCATTCCAGGCGGTGGCGGCCTCATGCCGGGAGGCATTCCCATCGGAGCGCCGCGGCCGGGAGGCATCCCCATCGGCGGTCCCATGGGCGGACGCATGCCTGGAGGAGGACCCATCATACCTGCGGCAGTTCCAATTTTAACAAAAACTTTAATACAAGTAGAAAACCACGGTACAATCAAAACCATAATTTACATGAAGGCAAAATCAAATCACATAAATGTAAAAACCACATCAGCTTCGAACAAACACAAAGCCCCGTTACAGCACCAAATACTTTCGAAGGTGTCAAGATCGTCCATATGCTTATAATAATTTAAGTCAGTCAATATCCTTGCTTGTAGGGGTGTGCTTTTCCAATAAGTTTAAACTGATTTTTGCATTTTAACCTTAATAAAGCCATTTTTTCTAAAAGTGTCCATTATCTTTTGAGTCAAATTCTTACATTTAATCAGGAAATTAGAATAATCAGACATTTGGACTGTTAGCAAGCAAATGAAATCAACACAGAAGCTGCATCTGACGTGGCATTTAGATGTATTTGCACACATGTATTTTGTTTAATGCAAGACATGAATGCATTTAACCTGCAATTACAAATGCATAAATAATGTTTTGATATATTAAACATGAAACGTTGAATACTGATATCTGAAATGATTTAAAACATGAAAAAAACCAACCAACAAAAAAGCGGCAGCAAGTCACTGTTAATAAGGGAGTCTTATTAGTCTTAGCGAAACACCATCATGTTGCTCAGAGACACAAAACAGCGCTGTGGCTGTATTCAGGATGATTTTTGTTGGCGAAATAGAGCAAAAACAAGCAATATGGTGTCTAAAACG